GGGTAATTTAGGTTTATAAGATTTTTTTGGTGGTGAATTGACCAATTCCGATTTGAGATATGGTTGAGAAAGTAACAGAAAAATTTAAAGTTTTACTGAAAAAAAACAAAAAAACGTTTGAAATGCATTTAGGAGGTTTTAGGGATAACACAAAGGAAATTGGAGATTTTTGAGATGACGAAAAGTATTTTTAATTTTAACAAGAAAATTACTTTCCACACGGACTATTCAAAACAAATACTCAATATACTCATGGACAAATTTTTATTTAATTTTATTAAAAATACTTCCCTAAGAAATAAGACTTTTTGAAAGTAAAAGACTTGTAATATTAAATGAAAGACTGCCAAATTTTGTGAAGATATACCCAATATATTGAGAGTTACAAGTATTAAATTTATAAAGACTTTAAACAAGTACAAAAGGTCACGTGACATGGTCAAATTGACCGACCCCGTGGTGAGAGGGTTAATGTGAGAAATAAAAGTCTGCTTGCAGTCAAACAGAAGCCACAATAGCTTCATCTCAGGAACCACAGGGAGAACACCACCACTGAGAGCTCAGGATCAGGATATAAACCCCTGCTGGTGGCAAAAATGAATGCAAACAGTTTTAGAGGAAGAGAAGGTGAAACCATTGGCTGTGGTCCACCTCAACAAGCAAGTAAGAGTCTGAAGCTGCCACTCAATAAACCTTGTGCTCGATGACCAACAAGAAATGTGGGAGTCGTCAACATAGAGGTTGTTTGCAACAGTAGGAGTAAGTTGTTTAGAGATACCACTGATCTTTATACTGAAAAGAGTGACACTTAATCCACAGCCCTGAGGGACTACAAGTTCCCGTGTGAAGGATTTGGATGGGGTTGACCCACATGGACTTGGAAACTCCAATCCAGCAAAAAAGTTACAAATAAAAATGGGTAATCGACCATGCAACCATGATGATTGGAGGTAACGCAAAATGACAAACCTCCATGTAGTGTTATAGGCTTTCTCAAGTTCAGAGAAGAACAAACAAGATGTTCTCTCCTGAAGAAGGCTTCCCTGATTGAGGTTTCAAGACAAATCAGGTGATCCACGGTGAAGCACTGTCAACAAAAACAACATTGGGTTGGCATGAGGAGGTTGTTTGGTTCAAGGAACCAAATAAGACATGCATCAAACCATCCTTTCTAAAACCTTACAGAGACAGCTAGTCAAAATAATTGAATTATAATTAGTAGGAACCTTGGGATCCTTCCAAGGCTTTGAAAAAGGGAGAACAATAGCCTTGTGCCAAGCATAAGAAAAACAACTTCCTGCCAAATCCAGTTAAAAACAACCAGAAGAAGAGCAAGAGACAGGAGAGAGAGAGATGGTGCAGCATATCATAGTGAACATCAGCAGATCCGACTGATGTACTGTCAGACTGATGAAGATCAAGCTTAAGTTTTATCAGTGTAAATGGGTGATTGTAATCATAGAGATGATCTGCCCGAAAGGAAAATGGGATATCTCAGCCTGAAATTTGATGGCCAAGAAGGAAGGAGAAAAGCTAGAAGTGCTTGAAAGGTGAGAAAAGCACTCCCCTAGATTATTGGCAATGCTCTGGACATCAGCATCTTTCTGGCCATTGGAGAGCAAGATGGAAAGGGAATGGAAAGCATACTTCCCATCCAACTCTTGTCCCAGATGCCTTTGGAACTGGTGGTAGAAAAGATGCTGGTAGTGAACTTAATCCAGGATTCCTTCTGGCTTTGACATCTAACCAGCCTGCTGGAAAGAAATGTGGTTGGAAAAAGTGGGATACCTGTGAAAGATATCTCAAGCCCATTTGTGAGCCTTCCATGTCTGCTGGTTTTAAGGATAGAATGAACAGCTGCTCGAATTATACAATCAGTTAGTGCCTCCATGCAGTCGTTAATAGATGGAAGACTAATGAAAGCAGGATCAAGTGCTGAGAGAGGGGTGATGGAGAGCCAGTCAGCCTGCTCCAACTTCCACTGTGGCACAAGGGTCGGGTGGCATCGACCGTGATCATTCTACCTCAAAACTATTGGAAAATGATCACTGTCAACCCTCCAAGAAAAAAGTGAAGGTGAACAGATAGATAGATCAATAGCAGTAAAAGACTGACAGGTGCATGAATATAGGCAAAAGAACCATTATTGAAGAGAGAATGGTTCTGATAAGATAAGATAAGCATATGCTCCACAGAACGATCCCTCCCATCAATAGCAGCACCACTCCAGAGAGATTGTGTCCATTAAAGTCACCCAAAAGAAAATAGGGAGACGGCAACTGTTCTATAAGAGCATCAAGATCTGACTGATAGCAAGTCTCTCCTGGAGACAGGTACACAGAACACATGGTGATGGTATGACCCACAGAGATACAGATGGCTACAGCCTCTAGGAACATATCGAGGTGGGTAGATGCTGGTCAACCAGCAGTGCCACACCTCCATAAACATGACCATCACACAACCTGTCATTCCTGTACAAGGAAAACTGCCAAAAGGTGACAGTATCAGCAGGCCGAAGGAATGTTTCTTGCAAGGAGACACACACAGGATGATAGGTATCGATCAACATCTTAATGTCATCCAAATTAAAATGAAAACCTTGACAGTTCCACAGTATCAAAGTGGCCATTTTTATTTAAGAGGAGAACTGGGTGGAGAACCCTTTTGTTTGTGACCATATAGTTTTTCTTTATTAGAAAGAGGTATATCAACTTCCATGGAACCTGCCCTAGGACAATTGGGCAAATCACTGTTGGAAGAAGATGACTTCAGTGACCTAGGGCATGACTAACTTATGGTTCTGAACCTCAGGGTCATAGGAGAGGGAACTGAGCAGTCACTGGATGCGACTATGGGCACAGAGACAGGAGAAGATGTGGACTTGTCTACTCATGCAACGCATTTACAGTATGTAAACACTGTATTTCTTTCTCCTCCACCCATTTAGGGCAAGAATGAAACCACCCCAACTGATGCAGTGAGGGTCCAGTTGTACTTGTAGGCTTCATGGTCTTTGCCACCACAACGAACACACATCAAAGAACCAAATCAAGATGCCTTAGAATGTCTGAACCGCTGACATTGGAAACACCCGAGAGGGTTAGGAATATAAGGCCATACCTTACACTTCAGATAACTTGGCTTGATAGTGGCAGGCAGATGTGGTAATGTAAACGTCAATACAAGAACACTGGTAGGCAGCATAATTCAATCTTTCAAATGGAGATATGTCGCACAGCAGAAACTCCTTGGCTGGAGAAACCAGTGAGGGATTCAAAGTAGCATAGGGAGTAACCTCAATAGGTTTATCCCTAATGGCCTTTGATCTCAGGAGGAGTTTGCTATATTTTGATGTACATGTTTCCACCAAGATGTTCACAAAAGACTTCAGAGAGCCAGCAAGCCCCTTATCCCTTCTGAATGAAAAAAAAAAAAGAGCCTAAAGGTTTATCAGACAAAGAATGTAGAATGGAGAAAATGATTTATAGTAACAGATTACTATAAATTACGGCTACAGTGTTTACATTACGGCTACTGCAGAGGTGAGCACTATACCCAAACACCAGCATCAGACACAATATCCACAACATCCATTGAAAATGTCCAACACTGGTACTTAGTTGACGCTAGCCCAATAGGACAAGCTGATTGGCCCTGAGGGAGCCACTCATCTACAGGAATTCAAGGCCAAAGTGATGTGTTGAAAACCATCGACATAAAGTGACACTTCTCAACCACCAGGTTCCTCTGCTCGAGACACTACGCATAGCAAACAAGTGGGTGGATGTTTGGATCCCAGAGGAGGTAAACTAAAGAGACAGGACCTTCTCTGTCACCACATACATGAATTTACTTCGATGGATAAAAGGTCAGTAAAATTGATTGGCTTCGTAGAGTTTAGGTAGAGAAAATAACAGATAAAATATAAAGTTTTACTGAAAAAAAAAAAATTTAAATATATGTAGGAGGTTTTAGGTATTACATAATTGAAATTTGACAATTTTCAGAAGAATAAAAGTATTTTTAATCTTAACATGAAAATCACCATGCACTCAGAGCAGTCAATGAGAAATATTTAGTGAAAATACTTAAGTAAAAATTCTGATTATTTTGTCTACAAAAGACTTGTAATGCTTACTGAAAACCTGTGAAATTATAGTACAGAAACTAAAGGTCAATTTGGGGCCACAAAAAAAGAAGAAGACTATTCATAAAAACATGTCTAAACAAATTGATTTGCACTTTGCAACCTTTTCTTTGAGACTTTGATTTTCAAATACTACGAGTAAAACAAACCTCTATTTTTTAAAAGTTAGTCACCAAAAATATCAAGTCATTGAATAAAACAAATGTATTCTTTATGGTCTTGTGTTGTATCATCCTTTTTTTAAAGTGATGTGAGTATTCAGTACTCACCTAAACGAGCTTCTAGCTCTTCAGGTTTGAATCGCTTGGTTGACTTGTGTTCTCCCTCAGCAGGAGTTGACCTACCAGTGCAAGACTCACTAACAGAGGGTGGAGTGTCAGGTATTACATCATCTTTCCCTTGTTCAATGTTGTTTGTAGTTTCAACATTTTCTTTTGTTTCCTTAGGCTGCTCTTTTTCTCTGGGTTCTTTTTCCTCTTCAGAGTCTGTCTCATCCAAAAGCAAAGCACTTTTTTTCTCAAGAGATTGTACTTCACTATCCTTTGGTTTAATAGAGAAACTAACAGGACCTGGAAATACATAAGAATATACAGAGGTTATGATTAGTAACCATAATAATGTGGCTGTAAACTGTTGTTACCTATTATTCCTAAAAGTATATATTTTCTTTGTGATTTTTACTTCTGTCCTACACATTTAAGTTCATTCAATGTTGACAAAAATTTAACTCACTTCAGACTTGGTTAAACATAATAAATAGTCTTTGATAAAATTCAATAATGCAAACATACAAAAATGTGACTATAACACAAGCACTGGCAAATTTCTATCAAGCAAGATTAAAACCAGGGTGGCCTGGCATGGCCAGGTAGTTAGGGTGTTTGACTTGCAATTTGAGGGTCACGGGTTCAAATCCCCATCCCATAAGACATGCTCGCCCATTCAGCCATGGGGGCATTATAATGTGATGATCAATCCCACTATTCATTGGTAAAAGAGTAGCCCAAGAGTTTGCAGTGGGTGATGATGTCTAGCTGCCTTCCCTCTTGTCTTAAACTGCTAAATTAGGGACGGTTAGTGCAGATAGCTCTCGTGTAGCTTTGCGAAAAATTCAGAACAAACAAAAAAACAAAACCAGGGTTAAAACTAACAACTTAAAAAATTCCTAAAATCCGAAAAAAAAACAAACCATATCCTTATATATTTGCCAACACGGTAAGATTAAATAAATTTCTTTTCTAACCTTTTATAGGTTTCGCTAAAACCTTTTCCTTTGCTGTAGTTTCTATTGGTGGTGCTCCAGTTGAGTTTTCTTCTGAATGTTGTAACTCTTCTCCAATGTCTTCTTCAGACTGAATACTTTCCTCAGCTTCTTGCTGTATCTCTGAAATGGATTCATTATCATCTTGTTCTTCTGGTTCCTGTGGATGATCCTGCTGTTTATTGGCTTCTTCCTCTCTTTCTTGCAGTTTTATATGATAATTCTTCTTAAATAAGTAGTATTGATGGAACTGGTTCCAGGACTCCAGAAATTCAAATCTTTTGTCAGCTTTAATTTTAAACACTTATTTAGTATCAATACACTCACAAATCTTACACTAAATCTCAAAAAAATTAAAATATCTAAAGATTATCAAATAATTTCTATTATATTTTATCTATTCCTTTAAAATTTTAACACTTTTTTTAACAATTATTTTATATTACATTTGAACTGACTATGAAGATAACAAATAAATTCAAAAAAGTGAACGTACATTTACTTTTAACAATAATTTCAAAGTCCTCTCCATTTTTTGCTACATAAATGGCCATCTTGTCAATCACTGGTTGGAGATCTGGAGGTGGTGGGATGATTTTATTAGCATCAGCACATTCTGTGAAATCATTTCCATCATCAAAACTTTCCTCAATTTGTGGTAACTGAATAGAAGGCCCCTCACCCGGAGGTGGTGGCTGGTCTGAATTCATGTTTTGTGAGAGTGGTGCTATTTGTTCATCAGGAGGGGGTGTAGAGCTCTTGCTAGTAGAATGATGGCCTTTATCTGTTTTATGTACAGTGTGCTTAGAACCTGTCCCCAAAAAAACTCATCTGAAATAGCTGAATTCACATTCACTATGGTACAGTAATGCAAGTAGCAGAATTACATTATTTATTTACAATCATTAAATCATAAAGTAACCCAAGATAGCACTTTCAAAACATTTGGTCTTTACCTTTTTTAAGTAATTATTTTGAAAGTTCTTTCAACAACAACAATAAAAAGTTAACCTAATAGTAAATTTACAATATTCAGCTATACATTACACACACTACTGATACCAATCTTCTGAAAATAATATTGTTCAATGGCATATTCTCAGATACTGAAGAGAGTCAGTATAGTGATAACACTCAGCTCTTACCTTTGAGGTTCCTCAGAATAATAAATTTACACAACACTTTACAAACATAAAAGAGAACATGGTCTCATCAGCTTCTCATTGTCACAGTAAGTTTTTGAAACAGATCTTTTACCCAAAAGGAGGTTTACAACTCCTTTGGATAAATTAAGGGGAAATCCTTCATACTGAACTAACTGATGAATAATGATCATTGAAGAATTTTTAATTATCATTGCATTATACTTACTTATATTTTAAAACCTAATATAGAAGGGTTTAACATAAATTCAGTTAAGCCATTACAAAACTGGTAAATCTGAATCAAAAATAGATAACAAAACGACGGAACAAACCTAACTTGGAAATTGATTTTTCTTTCAACTTAATTGTGATGTGATCTTACTGTTTTACCTGAATGTTTCTTTTGTTTCTCAACTGGCACTGGAGAACTGCTCCTGTGGTCAAATAGTTTGTCTTTGAGGTTCTTCACTAGACGAGCATATGCATCATCTTCATTTCCCCTCAGGAACACAAGATTTGGGACTGTAAACTGAAGCAATAATTGTTACTTTTACTATGATGTGTCTTTAAATTAAGAGTATTATAATACAAGATTCCTGAAAATTTCTAAAACAGATTTATTTTGTAATTTATGACTATTGTATCCCTAGCCTCAACTATTACCAAGCAAGCTGAAATACCCGTCAACTGATGGGGAATGTTTAAACTTAATTAAAACAATGTCAGTTTAACAGCAATCATATATTTAAAAGTAATAACTTGAATATAAACTTTATTTCAAAATTTTAAAATTATAACAAATCTTATTCATAAATGACATTTGTAGTTTGCTTTCCATCTATCAACAAATGGAATTTTGAAGAGATCCTACTCTTGAACAACCTACATCTCATTGGATACGAGAAAATCGTGGTTGTTTGAAAAATGATCCAGCAACTTTCATACTTTGACCTAGAATCCCTTTAGAATGTTCAACATTGTCTAAAGCATCAATCTGCCAAGGGTGTTTGAGATTGTTTGTTTTTTGGAATTTCGCGCAAAGCTACACGAGGGCTATCTGCGCTAGCCGTCCCTAATTTAGCAGTGTAAGACTAGAGGGAAGGCAGCTAGTCATCACCACCCACCGCCAACTCTTTTCGTTGGTAAAAGAGTAGCCCTAGTGGGATTGACCGTCACATTATAATGCCCCCACATGTTTGAGATTGACTCAAGAGGCCAGTAGTAATTAACCAATAGGCTTTACAAAATAGAAATAGGGTTAAGTTCAATTTTGGCCCCATCAGGACATTCCCCATAGTTTATAATATTTATATACCAATTTTGGTTGAGATTTGCCTAATAGGCTCGGAGAAGTTAGGGTGCAAACAAATACACATTTCATCTTTATATATATATATATATATATAATAATAACAAAAATAAAGAAAGAAAGAAAAATCACCAAGACAAGTGCAGTAATAGAGATAAGATGATATTAAATCCATTCATTATAGAACATATAACAAGAATAAAACAAAACCAAACTCAATACACTCAGAGAAGTTAGGGTCCACACAAACATATTTTGTCTATATATATATATATATATATATACTATATAAGTAATTAT